TCAGGCGAAAAGCGCTGCTCCCACTGCTTTATTTTGACAACTGACATCCAAAAGTGTCAAATGCAGTTGTCGATCGTACAATTCGAACCCTACCGTTGGCAACCGCGCATTTATGGACGTTTACTGGAAGTTATACGGATTCTGACACACTTAAACAACCGTTTTTCGCGCAAAATGGAAAACTTAATTGAAATCAGCGACTTTGTGGGATTTCAGGCGAAAAGCGCGGCTCCCACTGCTTTTTTTGACAACTGACGTCCAAAAGTGCATGCAGTGATGCAATTGTCGATCGTAAAATTCGAACTCTAACGTTGGCAACCGCGCATTTATGGACGTTTAACTGAAAGTTTCACGGAATGGCACACACTTGCAGAACCCTTTCCGATGGAAAAAACGAAAAACGCAAAAAAGAGGGTTTGGGGGGGTTGACAAGGGAGAAAGACTCCCCCAGCAGCAGCAGCTCCGTCTGACTTTGCGGCTGCCAGCCGTTAATGAAGCGGGAAAATCATGAAGTGGAACGGTGCTTTTCCATTTTCTCGATTTTTCAGCGTTTTTTCCACGAGTGACGGCAACCGTGACTCCGGCCGATCTTAATTGCAGCTTTTTTCCCTGGATCAATCCGAAGGCTCGAGCCCGCAACGTTCATCTGGATAAAATCTGGATTCAGCCAAGGGCCAAAGTACACACTTTCGAGACAATCTGCAATCGCATTTCGGGCCGAGTCAGCGGGGCGGCTTCCCCAATGCCACTAATTATGGGGCGATATGGCAACGGGAAGTCATTTACACTGTGCTGACTTGGGCGATAACTCATGTAGGCAAAACGGTATCGATTGGGCCGATTAGATGAGATGAGATGTTGACAGGAGGAGCTCCACCACCCTTAGGATGGATGGATGTGGGCCGAACAGTTCCCGAAATTCCAGCGTGAATGCGAAGATGTTAAGAGAGTTGGCGCAGTCGCCTGCCGGACGCTGGAAGATCCACCTGTCTTCAAACGTCTTTGTCCGGATAATGGGGGAAATGTGGGCGAATGTGGCAGCGCAAGTAATTTATTCTTTATTAAAAATGCGAATAATGATGGCGAAACACCGAATTGGCCGAATCGCGGTCCCAAATCCCCAAGAATCCGAACGAAGACGCAAGGGAGAGCCGCCCATTAGCTAAATCAACTTTTCCCCATCCATCCCGCTCCGAGTCCACGTTTGGATTCTTGCAAGTTGGGGAATAATTCGATTCGGCCGGATTTCATTTCATGCCGACATAATTGGATAAAATAATAATTGCGATTTCGTTCGTTCGTTCATTCGTTCGTTCGTGCCGTTCTCCCGGTTCCTGTTTTGTGTGTTGGGAGGCGCGCGCCCACCGCCAAATACGCCGTTTCCTTTCCATTGTGGCATAATTGCGCCCAAATAATGGAAACTTCGTTCCGGCGAAATTTTGCTCCCGCAGGAATTTCGCCTGCAAACCCTTTTGTCCAACACCCAGTAAACCGATGACCCTTTCGCTATTTTCGGCTCTCCGGCATTCCTCTGGGGGGCCCGCTTTGCCCCACAGTTAGTCTTGCCAAACACGCTCAGAGCATGACCTCGGGGGGTCGAAGACATTTCTTCCTTCCAAAGCTCTGATTTCACTGTAGACTCAAACTAAAAAAAATTCTCCAAAAATCCCTGATGAAGCCCCTGGCACGAAACTTTCCCAAG